TTTTGTTACATGCAGATGGAGATATTGTCTCGTTCCCACATTAGTTTCTCCTGCCTACTGCAACTTGCTAATTGAACAATAGATTCACATGCCCTCTGTCCCTCTTCTTCACACTTTACATTAAAATCCCAAGTTCTAGCATGTGATTGCACAGCTCATATCCCACCCGAGTAGGGTCAATGTCCCGACATTAATTCCAGGGCATGTTTCGGTTTTATTTAGTATTACAAAATTTTAACTTCTTTTTCTTGGATATTAATCTACTAAACACGTTGTTCATATTGAACCCTTCGAATTACGCCCTTATGATTTTCCATTTTTCAAGCTTCGGTTTACATTTCCTTCGTGTCCTCCTTCGCTATTGCCCAGGAGCTTTATGAGAGAGTTCAACTGCTGCATGAAACCAAGTTCAGATTGTGAAAAAGTATAATATTTGATGATCTGATTATATTGGAATCATAATGGGGCTCTGTGCTTCAATTTTCAATGATTTGTAGGAGGACTGGTCCCATGTTGTGCTAATCATCGCTCACAAACAAACCGGATTAAGCCTGAAAAATAATGCAAGGATCCAACTCTGGTTTTCCCACATGGGATGGGGACTACCTGCAGACAGAGTGGTGCTGGACGTACAAAAAGGGAGTGGAGTGGTCCATATATGTCTTGCCCAGTTGCCCCAACTCAACCCATTCTTCATTTCATCTTTCCCAAGGCACCGAATAATGAAATGGGTCATCTTAATTTGTAGGGAATTTGTCTAGAGATGACAATTTTCCCCGTCCGTCGCGTATGGGGCAAAAAAATCCTTCCCGAACGGGTTGGCGGGGATGTCCCGAACCTGCCCCTTGAAGAATTAAAAAAAAAAAAAAAATTGTTTTGGACATTATTTATTTTGGATTTTTTTTTTGTTTCAAGTGCTTGTTTTGACTATTGATATAGTTAGTTTAAACATTATTTGCTTTGAATTTTAAAATTTTGAATTTGTATTTTAAATACAAATTAAAAAAAAAAACAAATGGGACAGAAAACGGGACAAGTCCTTGCCCTGTACCCGCCCCACCCCTCCCCTCCCCGTCTAAAGTAGGGTGGGGCGCGGGACGGGGAGGGGGAGTGGCGTGGTGGGGCAGGGTGGGGTGAGGGTGCCCCTCCCGGACCCGCCCCATTGTCATCACTAAATTTGTCTCAATGATGTACTTATTATTATAGCCATGTCCATGCCATGATTTAGACCGAACAAGAAACAATTTTGTGTACAATGATGATTGCTATTCTAAGTCGTGGAATGTTGATAAAGAAATACAAATGGAAAAATACATTGTGTACTTTTAGCGTGTGTTTGATTGTATATATTTTTCATGGAAAATGTTAGTTTCCCACCCAAATTCCTATTTTGAAGTGTGTGGTTGATATTTTTTTTTCATGGAAAATATTTTCCAACTTTTAAAAATATGTCTAATTTTCCTTTTTTTTAAGGAAAACATTTTCTTTGAGGGAAGTAGGTTTTTGTTTTCCTCAAAATAAGGAAAATATTTTCTTTTCTCCGATATATTTTCCATGTCAATTAAACATTCTTATTTCTTTTTGGATATGATAGATTATTCGAGGAACTCTGTATAATCCTTAAGACTTATTGGTGAATGATAATTAATCGCAGTTAATGTTGAGTTATATAATAAAATACATAATTTATATAGACAAGCACAAAATGTTCCACTATAATTTAGCCTTTGTGACACTATTCTTAACAAAGGTTAAACATGAAGAGTGGGAGAGGTAGTTTTTTTCCATTCCTTCTTTTTATTTTAATTTCTATTTAATTTTAGGAATCTCTTCTGTGATCAGAGGTTAAATCGATCAATAAAAGAAGAGTTGGATACAAAATCAAGGTACTTCAGAAAAAATCAAACTTTATCAAAGAGAAGTAAATGAAAGACTTTTATAAAAATTTCGTAAAATCAAAAATGAAGTTTTCATTCTGTACATGCTAGATCATCTCCCCCCCCGATTATTGGGACAAAGTGTGTCGGGCCAAGTCTCGATTCAAAAAGATAAAAAGGGTCCAAAAGTCTAAATAGGGGTTACATGAACTTCATTGGTGTTATGATGAGCACAATATTTATCCTCAGAGAATAGCTTTTATTGATTTGCCAATGGAATTCAATAATCCGAAAGGCAAAACAAGCACAACCAAGATTTGTGGGACCAAAGGCATGACATAGCTATTAGATGGTCCATTATATGTAATTTGGCCGGTGGCCGGTGCAAAGGAGCAGCGGCACCTGGCTGAAAGTCTTTGACCGATGCTAGTGAAATTGTTCAAAAAAAAAAATTATCTACTTTCAAATAAATAAATAATGCTAAGTATTTGTTTGTGAATAATTTTATAAATTGACTAATTTATTAATAGATATTGAAATGTCTGATTGAAAATAAAGTTTGACAATTTATAAAGTTTACCAAAATAGAAAGCTATCCAATGTTATAATCGTTAGTTATTGTTTATTCAAACACATTAAAAATGATCGTTTTGGTAGACGAATATTAGGGTTTGGGTGATTGTATCAAATTTATAGTTGATCTACAAGAACCAATAAACTTTTCAAAAGGAAAAAAAATATATATTTGCAACAAAACTATTTCTTGTGATCTAACAAATGCAAACATAGATATTATTACTTTTAAATCTTGGAAGTACAATTCAAAAACCTACTTTCATAGCTAACTTGGACCCTGTTTGGGCTCCATTAAAATGTGTTTTTGCGAAAAATGTACTTTATAGCTCTCGTTTGGTGCACATTTTGAAGGTAAGAATGCGTTTTTACTGCTGATGTGATGGGAATATGTGGTTGAAAATGAAGAAAAAGTTATTGACGTGATGAAAAATATTAGTTTATTGAAGAATGTGTGATTAAAAATGAGTAGAAGAATGAGAATGAAAAAAATAATGTGGAAGTGATTTTTTGAAAAATGCGTGGTTAAGAAAAAAAGTTTTGTGTTTACGTGTAATATTATTTTATTGAATAATGTGCGATTAAAATGAATAGATAAAAAAAATGTATTTTGAATAAAATGGACCGGCTTAATATGATTAATGGCATTAGCGAGCAATTTAACATTTTTAATAATATTAATCAATAAAATATACCCCCTATTTTAGTTATATTAAAATTTTTATTTTCATTATTCTATTCATTTGAACCCTGCTGCTTGTACAGGGACTTGCTTGACAGGTCCATTACAGGCAAGACACAATAGGGAGCCGTGTACGAGCATCATTTTTGTACTCATTTTCAATTACACATTTTTCAATAAAATAATATTTTTATCACATCAATAACTTTTTATTCATTTTCAACCACACATTCTCCATCAATCTACTATTTCGAAATATATTCTTCCAAAATAATGTGGCTCAAACACACCCTGAATAAGATAAGATAATATGTTGTTGTTGCTTAATCTCTACGGCGAAAAGACTTCCATTCAGATATTAAGAAAATTAATGGTTACAGTTAATTCTGGTACGTATTTATCATCGTGGGTCCATGACCTCATTCGACCATTTCTTTATTGTAGCGATAGATTGAACTTGAGTGGTTTGAGTCTATTACACGTAATTTAATTATAATATTTGTCCATAGAAGACTATCTCGTTTGACAATCAATTCGTCCCTTGATTAATCCTTATCTTGTTTTGAATTTTCAACAAGAGAACAAATGGACAATTATAATGTGTACTCGTGTTATTCGCTACACATATTATAAGACTAGTGAATATCAAAGCTGAAATGACTCGTGTTATTCGCTACACATATTATAAAACTAATGAATGAATATCAAAACTGAAAAGACTTGATTGATGGAAAATATGCGATTAAAAAATAAGAAGAAGTTTTGGATAATGCGTGATTGAAAAAGAAGAGAAAAACAAAATATTTTGGAAATAATGCATAGAATGTATTAGGACTATGCTATTCGTACATTGGATTTTACACCCTCGTTTACCTGGCCCCACCGCCCCCCTCACAATTAGGGGGGGGCACAATTATTTTATTTATTGTGGCCCTTCCCGTCATGTGAGGGGAGTGTAAACGAGGGTGTAAACCCCCGTGTACGAATGGTTTTACCCAATGTATTATTATTATTATTTTTTCTTTGAGTGATAATTGAACTTTCTTTGTCTTGAATAAGTCAATTCTTGTCCGGAAGTATAGTCTAAATCGATTAAGGGTTTGTTTGACATGATTTTGCCTTCTACTTTTACTTCATAGAGAAGATATTTTCAAGAAAGTTAACATCATTTTTGTTTGAACACTAATATATAAAAGAGTTTCATATTTCGAAAGTGTTTTTAGAGAACTTTATATTGAATAAGTTTCTTCTAAAAACTCTTTTTTGATTTCATCTGTATATGTAGCATTATTCCTTCATAAATTAATCAAAAGAATTCCAAATTTTCAAAAACTTCTTTTAACTCCTCAAAACAGCCAAGAGTTCGAATATGACACAACTTCAAATTCACAAGGTTTTAGACAATTTAACCCTATTCCTTACCAAAGACAGACAGCTAATGTCTAGTTGGAATGGTCGATACAAAACAAATATTTTATTTTATTATTATTATTATTTCTCATTGAGATGATAGAAATGAGGAGGTTTTCGTCATTTTCAGGTCGGAATGCCGAAAGGCTCAAATGAACTGAAACGCCGAGACAAGTGCCCATTTTTTTTTCCTCTGTTTCTCAACTCTCTCTCTCTCTCTCTCTCTCACACTGCAACGACATGATTATTTCTTTCTTGAAATAACAAACCTCATTATTTATAAATATATAATTGCAGAGTAGATCAAGCTAGCTATTTTTAATCAATAATTTTGAAGCAAAAACGAAACATCAACGAATTCATTATCCCTTCTTCCTTAATCTCTACTTCACCTGCTAACCAAATACAGAAAGCTTCGTTTCAACCTCTCTTTTGTTAGGTTTAAGAGGGAGCGGAAAATGAATATTTTTTATTCAAAAACACCCTACAGGAGCAGAGGCTTTTATGTGAGGATGCGGCTCTTGCACAACACTAGATACAGCAGAAACCCAGAGAAGAGTTTTTGGTATAGATTTTTCAAATGGATTCTTTGGTTTTCTCTTGTATTTTACTTCTTTTCGTCTTTCCTTATTACCCACACCAAGCGCACCACCTTTATTTCAAAAGCAACAGTTTCTCCTTCAAAAGTCAGTCGTGCTCTCATTGAAGAATCACCCGTCAAATCTTCCACTCTCCAAGAACCCAAAAGTCCCCAAGGTACTCGAAAAGTCTTATCTTTTTTGATAAACATATTGAGTCCCAGAAATAAAAGATTGTTCTCTTATGGTTTTATTTCAGGTTTATTAAAGGGGATGAAAGTGTATATCTACGATATGCCATCGAAATACAACAGTGACTGGTTGTCAAATGATCGGTGCAGCAACCACTTGTTTGCGTCGGAGGTGGCTATTCACAGAGCCCTGATGAATAGCGATGTAAGAACATTGGACCCATGGGATGCCGACTTCTTCTTTGTTCCTGTTTACGTATCTTGCAATTTTAGCAAGGTCAATGGCTTCCCAGATATTGGTCATGCACGGCCTCTTCTATTCTCCGCCGTTCAACGCATTTCAACTCAGCTTCCGTTTTGGAACCGCAGCCGTGGCTCTGATCATATTTTTGTTGCGTCCCATGATTTTGGTTCTTGTTTTCATACCATGGTATGCAAAAATTATTTCTGTTTTTACGCAAGAACATTTTTTTTTTCTTTTGCCGTATTTAGATTTGATGGGTAAATATGCAGTTTGAATTTATTCGCAGGAGGATGTGGCGATGGCTGATCGTGTGCCTGAATTCTTGAGGAACTCCATAATATTGCAAACTTTTGGAGTCAAATATAAGCACCCATGTCAAGACGTGGAGAATGTGGTAATTCCACCGTATGTTTCACCAGAAAATGTACGGTCCACCCTGGAGAAGTCGCCGTTGATGGGACGGCGTGAAATTTTTGCTTTCTTTAGGGGCAAAATGGAAGTCCACCCCAAAAATATCAGTGGTCGTTTTTATAGCAAGTACTAGTTCATTCAATACTTCAAACAAGACCATTTCTTTCTCATTACTGTTTCCAGACGAAATGGCAATGTTAACCCTGACTCTTTGATATTCTTCCAGGCGGGTGCGGACGGAGATATGGCAGAAATATGGCAATAACCGGAGGTTTTATTTACGGAGACACAGATTAGCTGGTTACCAGTCAGAGATTGCTAATTCAATCTTTTGTTTGGCCCCATTGGGGTGGGCTCCTTGGAGTCCTAGACTTGTAGAATCGGTTGTTCTTGGATGTGTCCCGGTCATTATAGCGGATGGCATCCGGTTACCCTTCCCCTCCGCTGTACCGTGGGCGGAGATATCTGTAACGGTGGCGGAGAAGGACGTGAAAAAATTGGGAAAAATCCTTGAACATGTCGCAGCCACTAATCTCACGGCGATACAGAAAAACCTGTGGGACGCCAAAATTAGGAGGGCTCTACTTTTCAACAATCCAATGGAAGAAGGCGACGCCACATTCCAAGTTCTTGTGGCCCTATCCGAGAAGTTAGACAGGTCCCACAATAGGTCAAAGGTTTTAAGCCAATGAAGCTATGAAACGTGGCATGTTTTGATTGGTTAAGATCTGGAAGATATATGGCTCTTTTTTGACGTGGATGTAGGGAGTAGGGACTGTGTACAGTTGGGGACAGCTGTGAATTATTGGACTGCTCACAAAATGTGGGGCCCGGGATTTCGTACAGGACAATGCCACATAGGATCGTGCAGCTGAGTTGGCCAGAGATAGACCAGATGCTAGCATCTGTTGCAATTGCTGGGGGACACAATCTAATGTTGTGCATGTGAAGAGGAATAAGAGGAATGGTTTTTTGGTGAAATTTTGTTGTAAATAAGAGTGTTATATTATTGGACTATTATTACAATTGTACAAAGAAATGAGTTCTGAATTGGTCCCTCTTTTCATCTTACCTTCATCCTTTTATATAGGCAGGTAGGTACTTGTGATACCATGCATTTGAAGGAATTCGACCGGTTGGTTAGGTTATTTATGACGAGGTCATGATATGCTTAAACGTTCAGACTTGTGCCCTTAGCTGTTTTGTCATCCTCTATATCGATTCATCTTATTATTTCTTGTACCGCTTTTCATAATCTGCCTCCATTGATTCGCCGGAGGCCAAGCTAGGTCCAGATGAGTGCACAATGTTGTTGGTGCCAGCTAATTTGCTATACAAAATGATTATATTCTTTTGTTCCATTTTAAGAAAATGTGAATATTATCTGTGCAAAAGTATATTAGAAATTCGTTGTTTTTCTTTCCCTTTTTAAAACTTTGTACTGTCATAAATTAATGTATTTTGAACTGGGGAGCCGGGCGGTGGCAGACAAGATTCAGAGGAGCCACAGGGTGGCAAAGTTGAATTGTGTCAGATCTTTTAATGTACTGATGCCATTTGAATTAGTTAAATCATATTGAATATCACAGATACCACGAGTTTACAACATTTATAGATAAAGGAAAATGTATTAATGGACAAAAATTAACAGATCTAAAAACATATGGTACGGCTAACAATTGGTTGGACATTATCTCTAATATAAGTAGTATGGAGGATGCAAGAAGCTGCTTAGACACCAAACTTTGTCCAATGTAGTTTAAATGGTTGGCGTGAGCGTGGTTCGTGACAATTGGTCGTTGGTGGAGATGTGTATATAAAAAGACTCATATGTTCATTGGTGAAGACTATATTCGGAACACAATGAAAATCAATTTTGATAGTTTCATCCATGATTGGAAAAATGGGATTGGCACATCGATGTACCAAAATTATCACAAAATATGACTGGTTGTTGACTAAGAGAATCACCGTTTTCAGATGACAGGACTATATCTATAGCTTGCTATTCCGCTTTAATTGATGATTGAGCAACAGATTTATGCTTTTTTAGCACTATGAAGTCGGATTGTGACCAAGAAGCAACACATAAGCACTGGTGGATATACATTCATGTTTATTTCTTGTCCAATTGGCATCAGACTAGGAATGTAAATGGAGGGGAGATATTGAATGTGATTCTTTGCTAGTGGTGTCTTGGATTTTGGCAAGGAAATGTACAATATGGTACTTGTGGGACTTTTGGGAAGTTCTGATTGAGCTTTTAAAGAAGTTTGATTTTCACGTTATTCATCAGTATAGAGAAGCTAATCAGGTTGCGGATGAGCTGGCAAAGTTTGGTGCGAAAGGAAATACAGAACGTTTCTTATCATGTTTGGAACTGCCATTTATCTGTCGAGGGTTGATTCACTTAGATAGAATGGGTGTATTGTACCTTCGAAAGAAAAGATAGGCTATTTTTGCATTGTTTGTTTAGCTTGATCAGAGATTAGGTATTTGCTGTTTTATTGATTGATAATCTGTTATTACAGTATTCCTCCGCCTAACGAGAGGGTTTTTTATGAATAAATGCCTGGAGGTACCGCCTCCTTAGGCTTTGTTTTTAAAAAAAAAAAAAAGGAGGGGAGAATGCCACGGGCAACAATGCCTTTAAGGTAGCGTATCTCTATTTTATGGTTAGAAAACACGTTATAATTATGGACAATATCATTTGTACATTCTTTTTTACATTATTATTGACATTACAAGTGTTGTCAATTGTTAGTTAGACGAAAAAACTTTCCAAATTTTAAATTGTCCAATAATATATTGTCATATGACAAAGTATATAAGATTGTGTCAAAAATAATGTACATGTAGTATGATTGTACAATTATATATCACCTGACCTAGCCTGCACAATTTTTGTTCTTGGGATTTCACTCAAAAGACCTCATACCAACTGAGAGTCATTCTTCCACTTAAAAATCAATATTGTTATCCTTTCTAAAGCTGATTATCGGTTTAAGAACGTAAGGTGCCCCTACTTTTTCAGGGTAAGAATGGATAGAGACAATATCTAGAGTGATTTTTTTGTTGTGGTTGCTACAATCTTCCCATCTTATGGGTCCCAACGTCCTCGTTGTCCACACTTCTATCTAATCATAAGCTCTCTAATATTATTTGTAACATCTCAATCTACTTATTATGATATTATCTGCTTTAGTCTAGCCTGCACTATTTTGTTCTTGGACTCTCACCTAAAATGCCTTATCCAATTGTGAGTGGTCTTTCTCTATCATTTAATTTTAAATGAAGGAGATAAAGATAAGAATAAAATTTGATTTTAAATTTAGAATTGGAATATGATTTAAAAGTAGAATTCGATTTAAAATATATTTGTTTAGATTAGATTAATTATAATATTTTAATAAGATTCTTGTTTATTAGAAGTTCATTTGATTTAGTCACTGTCTTTGTGTGAAACACGCTACCCCTTGGGACATTTTCAAGAAATTCTTTAAATACATGATGCTCTTTATTTTAGAGAGTCAATATTTAAAAATAAACTCCTAGAAAAGTAAAAATAGAGTGTATTTGACTCCCAAAATTTAGAGAGCCAAAACTCACTCTTTTCTTGATGTATAATGATTGCATTATGTATTTCAATACCCTACTTAAATTGTTCAAACAACATTTTGGTCAATTGACATATAAATGATTATGTTAAACAAAATATGAAGAACAGTCAAAGTGTTTTTTGAACAAGGCAAAATATAGAGAGCTTGTTGAAGAGTATATTTAGAGTGATTTAAACTCTTAAGAATTGGACCCGTGTGGGCAAAATAATCACTGAATTCAGCTTTCTCAATTCTTATTCTACTAAATAAGGTAAAATTTGGATATATATTGTTCTAGGCAACGACATTTGTTGACCCCGAAAAACGTAAAGTTAATATGGACAACAGATGTCAGACCCACTCATGTCAACCTAAGCAAATTTCGACGCATTTCGACTGGTGAACCAGTGGGAAAAGGGTAACACGTGAACGCAGGAGTGCTTACCGACGATAATGACTAAAGTGACTGTACTAACAAACAATCACCAACCAAGCTATATATGACCTAATATCCAAACTAGCAATAATAGATCAAGCGAGAATGTATATTGAGAATGCTCTTTTATATTATCATTTTCAATGTTCAAATTAACATCCTTTTTATGTACAAAAACCACTTATTTATATATTTTTGGCCAACGTGGTAACCGTTGGATCAGAACCACGTGACATCATCCTCTTGACCGAGGTCTTACATCACTAAGTATATCACACAATAAATATATTGACAACGGATCAGCCACCGTATACGATGGGCAGACACCGACATTCTTTATTACAGACATCATATCAACTATTCCTAAAGATTGTATGCAAATCTTGCAAGAGACAGGTTCAGCTTCAGGGACCTCGAATGAACTAAGGGCTTCGGCTTGGTGGTCTTTGATGCGAAGAGCCTTGGCATAACATGAGTTTCGACATACTGCTTCGACCATTTAGGCAGTGTTTTGACACAATAGCTTCAGCCATTCATTTGATCTTTTTACATTTGACCAATTGATTCTTTGTTGACTTTTCTTTCCAAGTGAATTGCTACGTGGCGTTTTGACTTGAACCTCGGTGGCGAGGCGTAACAACATTTTCAACAACCAACGCCACCTTTTGAGTGGTACAAGTGTAAGCAATCATCATTTGGTGATTTATTTGACAGCACAAACGTTGATGCACTCATCAACATTTATAAATTTATTAACCATAAGATACAACTTAGAAGTTAGAACTATGATTTCTACTGTAGTGCTCAGATATTCCAAAAGATTGCTAGGGTTCTATGTGCTTCTCGAATATGGAGTTATTTTCGAATATAAAGCCAGTTAAAAAGGATCCTTGAGTTGGAAATGTAAAATTCGTATCATGTAGTGGCTTAGCGTTTAATGCAACGGTTGGGGACTCAATGAAGAATTTTGCAGTAGAAATTCCTGCACCACTACAGAATGGACTCAAATTACTTGTACATGTTGGGGATTAGATCTTATTCGCAACTGACTGGTAGGCGTCATATCAGTGATTCAGTATCAATGTACCACTGTGTTAATGTCACTTCAATTACTAAATTACATTGTGAAGAATATAGTCAAATCAAACGATAACAATACATCTTCATATAGTCTATAACAGTGAACCACTTACTAACCTTAAAATTCTAATAGTCTGTAACAGTGGTCACATGGTTCAGGTGGATCAGCCAAAGGCACAAGTAGAAATGCTACAGTGGTAGATACGACTTACGAGACCAGCCTCTATGAAGGGAACAGAAAGTTCAGATTTCTTCCAAGTAGTAACAAGAAGTTTACACAACCATCATTTTATTACAATTATATTATACAATTATCAGGGGCTTCTAAACGATAGTTCTATGATCGAGTAATAAAATACAATTCAAATATCTTACAAAAGATGTCCTTAACAGAGACGTAGAGAACTGGTAAGGAAACGGTGGTAGCATTGGATAATTGGAAGCATTCCAACTTGTGCAAGAGCTACATCTTGAATGGAGCAGAGAAGAGAATTTACAATGTCATTTGTGTTGATTATGCAAAGAGTTTGTGGGAGTCCTTAGACAAAAGTTACAAAATTGAGGATGCTGGTACAACGATAGATAGAGTCAACAAATTTCTGGACTGCAAGATGTCAGACTCAACAACAGTGATCAGTCAGGTTCAAAACATCAAGTTAGTGTTCGTGATGTAAATACCAAGAACATGTTTATCAAATCTTTGAAGTTATGCAATTATTGAGAAATTACATATCGTCAAGGAAATAGTTCAAATTTATGCATAGAAACACCATCGCCCAAAGGTGCTTTTTGACAATTGGTCACCGTTGGCTAAAAACCATTCCTCACTTGTGATATAAAGTGGCTTTCAATTTCTTTCAATCACTTAGCCTAGTCTATATCCACAGTTGACGCAAATCCGTAACGACGCCTCTCAACAACCAGTTGAGGCATGTGGGTCATCTATTAATATTTAATACTAAGTCAAAAATAAGCTGCCGTATGGCAAGGAAAGATACACCAATCCGACATGGCAAGAAGAAAGTCAATAAGAAGACTAATTGACTACCCAACCATGCAACTCAGTCCTAGACCTACTGAAAATTACCCAACCATATCAAGTTACTTGACCAAGCAAGTCCAGAAACAAGCAAATAGATAAAAAAAAAAAAATGTAAGGCATTATGGCCATAAAAACCTAGTCATAATCCACTTGCAAACCAGGCAGGCGATAATCCAAGGATTCACAATAGACAAATTCATGGAAAAGAGCATAATAAAGATTTACACCTATCAATCCAATAACCGAAAATCAAGAGCATCACTTGGAAGATATTAAATCACACACAACATGTGTTTATTGATGTACCTCACAAGTAGATATTTTTCTTTCATTTCTATGATCCAAATCTAGCTTTTTATCATTCGATCTTCCCGATTTCCCCCAAGGACAGCTACGATAGTATGTGGGCACCTTTCTTGGACTAGATTAGGGGTGACTAGAAGAAAAATCACACCGAAAGCTTTATGCATGTGAGCTGCTTCATTTACGTTTTATGCCATTGTGCCCTGGACGGGACATGGTAATTGAAAGTATGCCATTTACCATGTAGCACTAGTCTTCCATGTCTTGTAGTTGTAGGACTAACATGCTAGTAGAGTATTCTCTGTCTTGTAGGAGTATCATCATGTTAGTAGGAAAACAAAGTGAAATTTATAATTTACAAAACTATCAAGATTTTTGACAAAACGAAAACTACTTTAGCCAGCACAGAAATAAAAAGTCAGTACACTACAGGAATAGGATTGCAATTTATGGTCCTTGAAAAAGGCAAATAAGATTCTAAATGAAATATTGGAAAGATATATTCTGCCTTCTAAAACAACTAGGCACAAGGGGACCACTTCTTGTTCAATACAATTCCCTCAAGGTCTCAATAGCTGACTGAAAACCAGATCGTAAAGGCACAACTGACACCACGCGCAGATGTTGTGCATTACCATTCTTTGGTTGTGAAAGTGTCACTCTCAACATCTCTCCCTCCAGAGCCTTACTGGCCGTCACAGCTGCAGAAAACATTTTCCAGTCAGTGGAATGAGTCAGATACATCCAATTTAAAACTGCAACAGAGATCACAGGAAAGAAAAAGAATATTCAACCTCAAGCCTCAACCATCACTACACCCTGATCCTAATTTCTCCCAAAAGGAATGTTAGTAAAAACTTAGCTTGCTTATTTACCACTACAATTAGTACATTTAAGATTTTTTATTATATAGCGGGAAGTTTGGATTTAAGCTGAAGTGACAAAAATTATGTTACCTTCATTTATAAGAATGAAAACTTACAATGGTTCTTATAATGCAAAAGCAAGTCTCCAAGGCCATGGCAACCTCTTATCACATCCAAAGATACAACAATAAATAAAAAAATTAAGTTTTCTATGTAACATAAGAAGCCGGAATAGTTTCGAGGATTAAGTGTCTTATAAATTATAATGCTATATGGGTCACTTAAGCAGAGCAGAAGTTAATCTGCATCCCTAAAATCTAACTTAACGTCCATTTACAAGCTAAAAGAATTTATGGACAAAATGTGAATTAAAATAACAGTAAACGGAAAAAGGAATACCAGCAAAGGGGTGAGTCTTGGCAAAGTCAAAGAACTCATCAGCAGAGCAACCAAACAGCACTCTAGCCGCCCGATCAAACATTATCACCACAAAAACCTGTTTATCAGTAGCTATAGACATCTGCAAACACCAAACAAAACCATTTGTCCAAAAAATAAAGCTCACAGTTTTATAATGATAATTAATAATCACACAATATATTTCATTTACATTTTCTCAAGGAAAAAATAAATAAATATTCAAGAACTCAAGAAAGTTAATTTTACTAGGATATAAATCCACACACACATTTCAATAAAACCCTAAATCTAATGTTTTTACCAACAATTTCCCTAAAAAAAAAGAAAGAAAGAAATGACCAAATAGACTTTTTTTTTAACTTCTGTGAATACTTACAAGGACTCGAAAGAGGCGCCTAGAGCCAGATGAACCCGGGTTGAAAGAGTTTTTAAAGTTGCAGTATTTGCAAGCGTTTGTGTTGTCAGAGAGAGTTTTTTCACAGACAGAGCAGACTCTGTAACAGAGGCTGGTGTGATCAATGGCCACCAGTGTGCCTATTAGGGTTGTTGGCTTATCAATTTCCACCAGGGGCCTTTTACTAGGGTTTGTGCTCGAATTCTGGTTTATCGGCTCCTTAGAATTCATCATTTTTGCACTGATCTTTGCTTTCTCACTGGGGATGAGAGGAAATGGACAATTGCTGATTTGAAAGGTTTCACGGCCCGGCGCTGTGTTGTGGACAAAAAAGCCACCAAATTTTCAAAATATTTTAGGGGGTTAATTACATGACTTTGCCATGTGTTTCAACTTGATAACTGAACTTTACAAATGTATTTCAGTAGTTATCGAACTTCACCAAGTATTACTACTTTATAACTTAACTTCAAAATATATTACAATAGTCACTGAATTATGCACCGTGTAATCGATCCATCACTCAAATATTGAAATTTGTTGAACTAATATCAGTTGATCAAATCGACCTCAATATGGTAAAATCGACATCAATTACCTTGGCACTAATTCAAACATTTTATGTAATTTTTCTCTGTCAATTTCTTTTAGTGTTCATATTGTCTCTCTTTCAATCTTTTTATGTGAAGTTCAAGATACGATAAACTGATATACGTTGATTTAAAAATTAAACATACATTTGGACAGTTGCCGTTGAAGGAGATATGATAATTGGGGATTTAATGACTCCGCAAATCATTCAGAGCCAATTTAGCATTGTGTATCTTCCATTTAGGTAGCAAAGCTTTCAGTTGAAGACTAATGTCATCTGTTTATTTCAGAATGGACATCAGAAAAATTATATTCCCTCTTTTTTTCCATTCATTTTCTTCGATTTATTCTTTCATAGAGCTTGATTTAAAGGACTTAATAATTGAATTTAAAGATATATCTTAATGGTCACCAAACTATGTTAAATATTACCGTTTAATAACTGAATTTAAAAATGTATCTCAATGAGTACTAAACTTTGTCAAGTGTAACTACTTAATAACTGAATTTAAAAATGTATTTGAATGGTCACTAAACCATGTCCTGTGTTACCATCTATTTGAGTGATGGATGTGTAACACATTGTACAGTTCAGTGGTCATTGTGATACATTTTAAAGTTTAGTTATGAAATAGTAACAGTTCGGTGACCATTAAGATACATTTTTAAGTTCAGTTATTAAGTAGTAACACTTGTCAGAGTTCAATAACCATTCAAGTAATTAACCCTATTTTAGGATAGTGATGGCAATGGATCGTGCCGACTAATGGGCCGAGCCGTTGCCGAGCCGACTAATGGGCCAAGCCGAGTCGGCTCAGCCCTTAAACCTACCCTTAAACCTACGAGCTCGTGGCTCGTGGGCGAGCGAGCCCATGAGCTTTTTGAATTTTTTTTCACGTTTTTTTTTTTAATTTTTCACAAGCCCACGAGCTGCTCGCGAGCTTGACGAGCCCAAGTAGCTCGTGGCTCGTGTTTTCACGAGCCGAGTGACTGAGCCGACAAGCCGCTCAACCCGTTTGCCACCTCTATTTTAGGATAATATTTTTAAGGGAGAATTGCATTTGGGGCCGGAACCTTTTAAATTATTGCATATTATACTCGAACCTTTCATTTTTGTAGGTGAGGTCCCAAACTTCTCATCTCAATTGCAGCTAAAGGCATGTGGACAGAATCCGTCTTTTCCTTCGTCAGTTGACAAAAAAAAAAAAGGATTGATTTTGACCAATTAACTGGAGTAAATGGTCAAATTATTACTTTTAAAATCAAAATGGCAATTACGCCCGTGCGTATGCCCCAAATTGAATGGGAAGGAGCAATGTACAAACCATTCTCTTCCACAATGGGTTCACAAGAAACCCACGATTCCAAAGATAATCCCCCAGAAATTGCTTGTCATCTTTGAGGATCCCTCCCCTCATCCGAATATGGTAAGTTTTATACTATATATACTTTTTTCATTGATCGAACTAGCATGAAATGTTCAATCTTTGGGCACGAAGTATGAGCATTGAACATGGTTCTCATTTGCTTGTGTATAGATGTTGTGTTCAAATTTTGTTTCGACTATTATCGCTATTGCAATGTTCACCAGTGTTTGGGCATGTTTTCTCTATATCAAGATTTTAATTTCTTTGGTCAACTGACAAAGGAATAGACGGATTCCATACACATGTCCTCCAAATGCAATCGAGATGAAAGGTTTGAGACCCTAGCTGCAAAAATGAAAGGTTTGGGGTATAATATGATGCAATAGTTTGAAAGGTTTGGAACTTCAGCTACAAGTCTCCCCATTTTCAAAGAAACTGTTGTTACAAGTGAAATGGGTAAAAAATTTCTTTTAAAATATTCATACAATAAATTGTTAGAAATCTTGAATACTCTCATCAACATAAATTGACAGCTCAAAAAGACTAGTCTAAAAGTGTCTCGCCCACTATGTTGTCCAAGCTTATTTATCGTGATCCTTCATTCAAAAGATTCTCCAATAAAACTTCTTATCAGTTGTTAGTCTTCTCATCAGAGGATCGTGATGGAAGGCTAAGCGAAAATCATTGAAGTCTCAAGAGAAACATCATTCTAATGAAAAGGAAGAGACTATTTTGATACACAGTACAATTTTTCTAGAAGAGGAAACATTGGAGGAATGATGGTACATAATTTGCCGAAGAATTTTGCAATCCTTGGAGAGAGATGTAGAGCTGAAGTTAAAGACATGTTCCAATATAGCAAATGGATCCTCGTATATTCCCAAATAAGAAATTAGAGGATCTGCTCGAGACTTGTCAATAACAAGCCTCAACTTACTGGATTCAACTTTCCCAGATCTTAACAGCCTCTTATATCCCACAGTGGTACCACGTACAACCTCTTCCCATTCACCTTCTTCATTCAAGAAGTCGAGACGGAATTCTATAATCCGCTGACCCATATGGATTGGCTCTTGCACTAGCAATATATTGAAAGAAACAGACTCTTCAAAGTCTAAATTTAACGCCTAGTTTGATTGTGCCTTATCAGGAGCCCAGTACGAATGTGAGGACCATAATGGGAATCATTTGGAACCCCTCTTACGCTGCTTGCAGAAATAAGACCACCTTTTGCTAGATTGTAGGAAAATATGGATTTATGGATACTTGAAAATTCCTCAAGGACTCTTATTTCATCCTGGGATATAAGACATGAAGAATTTGGAGGCACGTTTAATAACAAGAGACAGTTTCTTCCAACTGACTTGTAGTACAAATCAAGCAGAGTGATCGCAGATTTTGGTGCTTGCGACGCGTGCCAAAACCATCCAGGCCGGATGGAGACGTCACACTCTGCAGGTACCCAGTCATGTCCAAGAGGATCTCCTTCTCCAGAATATCTGTCACGTATAAACAATTAAGTGTGACCATGCATGTGCACACTATCATTGGAATATGATCTTATGTCAATCCATGCCACTGCTTCATCCCATCCCATCCCATTCTATTAAAATAATGCATATAGCAGGAAAAACTAATCAGTTGGACAAACATTGAATTGTNGCATGACGAATGCCCTAGGGCATATCAAACACAAGGATCAGCTATTCATCGAGTGATTCAGAGCACTGCATCCATCCTCAAAGCTCGAGGCCTGGATGCACGGGGGCCAATGATGTGGTCAATAATGATTGCCCCCGAGCACGAGGACTCGCAATGTTCCCCCTTCCTTCGAGAGTAGGGCTTGAGTCCTCGGGTTGTATCGTCCTCGGCATAATGGACTGGAATTCCTCCTCCTTGCTCGAATAATGCTCGAGACCAATAACTGCTCGAGACATCTCGAGCACTACCTCGCCGGATTGTCCTAAAAACCAAGGTGGGAGTCGTCGGGATAAAAGGCCTCGAGATATTTACTTAACCAATATCAGTTGGACAAACATTGAATTGTTAAGTAATTCGACTAACGGAGGAGAAAATAACATTCATCTATATTATCAGAACAGATCAACGAACATATATTGTGCCTTCGAGGATGACAAGGGTTTTTATTTCATCTTTTTAAAAAAACCTATTATTCTATTGGTTGTATAATTTAAACAAATGCTACAGCTAAATAATAGTTGTGTAACATTAACAATTTCTTCGACCAAATCAACGGCCACTTACGCATACACTGGTAGGCACAACTGCTACATCAATAAATATTGGGAAGAGCTTTTTATAGGCATGTGTTTTCTAGTGAAGTGTAAAGGTAAAAAGTTGAGGAAATTACTGACACTCTTGACCAATGAAATATTTTGGAGGGATTAATGGTATAAACAGGTTTTTTTTCCCTTGGATTATAATTTGGTGTCAAGCATACAAATAAATCCACCAGATAAAAACTTTGGAAGCTAGCCTATAAATTCTTGCTTCAGCTTTCATCTTCTCATAATAAAAAAAAAAAAGTAAGATTCTTGCTAGATCATTTTTATCCTCCCAATTACCATCACCAGTTGAATTTTGAAAAATCAGAAATTTTTATGAACTGGTTTGGATCGAGTCACGCCAAAGGAGCAACCTATGACCCATAATCTAACATTTATTCCCGAGTTAAAGGATGAAACTGAAAACCATTTTCTAGCATCAATAGCATACATGAGGCTCATAGAGGCCTAGTTTAAAGTTTATTTTAACAACCCACAACATAGGGGTGATATTGAAACGCACTAGAAAATGTACTTCAAGGAGTCGAAACATTCACTGCTAGATTATATCCACTTGAGGAGGTAAAAAGGAATGGAGGACCCTTCAAAACCACGTCTTCTCCTTTTTGCTCAAGCTCTTAAAAGGAATCATTGAGCAACTTTACCATGATCCTGCAGCCAAAAGAAAAACATGCTTAGCATTCACTACTCAATATTTTTTCTTAATTAACATATAAACATATTCGCAGAGTGATACTTTTTGCTTATGTAGCTGCCAATTGGAACATGATCTTCGTTTCACTAAATTAAAACACTTGGATGACATTCTGATTTCAAAATTTGTCTAGTATCAGTTGAACAAAGTTTGCGCCCAATAATTCCTCAAATAAACCATCAGATGAAGAAAAAATCATATTAAACATGAACTTCGAGGATACAACACGGCAAAATACAATGAAATTAGCATAAATTCCAGGTTTTGAAGAGTCAT